CCCCCCCACCCCCGCCCTCTTTTCTTCCATTTTAAAATATATTTTCTACACCTGAAGTATAAAAAATCACCGGTATAAAACAAAATAAAACATGTTTATATTTGTTAATAATTTGTTCGTGTGTGAAACAAAGTTTCCCTGGTTTTCCTATTTTTGGACAGAACAAGCCCTACGGTGTACCCAGTCCGTGTAATGTGAACCGCGATATGGCAAAGGAAAATCGACGCATTGTACTGCGTTGCACTTTGGCCACATTTTCTGGGTAAAAAAAAAAAAAAAATTCTTTAAAAAAAAAATTAATTTGCTCACAACAGGTGAAACTCACCTCTGTGTGATGTAATCTGTTCGTCTTTAGTTGGTTTTTTTTTTTTTCTTCTAATTGTGGATTCTGATGCAGCACTGATATTGTTTATTTGTTCAGCCTCCGACTTTTTTTTTTCGAAACTCCCACTCTTCAAATTCGGGAGGAGTCCTGCTGTATGGTAAATCACTTTCACCTTCTATTCTGAGGTCGTGCGTGCTGAGCATCACCAAATCCGTGAGCCGAAGGGCATGATGGTGCACCCTGCGACCCTTAATATGAAATTGAAAGATACAGTTTGAGATTTTTTAATTTTTTTTTTTTAGAAGAGGTTTTACGGCGCTCACAACTGTATAAAGTCATATGAGCGCCAGAAGATTAGAGGTGTTACAAGAGGGTAACAAACATAAAAAAGAAGGAGAGAGAAGGACGATAGATGTTTTATAGGAAAGAAGAAGCAAACCACACCAGAACACCCGCCTACCACACTCGTTGGAGTCACTGTTTTTGGCTTATATTGATAATTGTGAGTGAATGAAATGTTTATAGATCAAACCTGCTCATAACGTTGGAGTAAAGAGATCGCATCTGCACGATTTCGGCCTTCTAGTGCAAGGGAAAAAATCAAGATAGATAGGCAGATCCAACAGAAAAGGACGATACAGTAGATCGAGTCTGTCAGATAGGAGTTACGGCTGGCAGAGACACAAATTTCCCCCCCCCAAAAAAAAGAAAAAAAAGAAGAAAAACTACGAACAAATCATTGTGCACATTTTTGTCTTTCTTAATATTTGGTTCATACCCAAGTAGCGGATTATAATCTGGTCGGTGCCTCGGTGCATGTCGAATTATGAGCATTGTCCCAGTGCCACTCATGGACCTGCACCCCAAGATCACGCACTGTCATGACCGCCACTCTTTGCTCACTTGGAAAACTTCACTACACCATTACGTCCAAATGAAGGGTAAACACGAGTCTGAGGCTATAGTCGAAATATGCCCCCGGCCCCCTTTTTCTTTGCTTTTTTCCTTCTCTTTATCTGGCTCAAAATTGAGTCAGAATATTTTTTATGGAGCGCTCCATACTGAACAAAAATACGAGACGTCAGAGTGCACGATATTATAATGCAAGTGTGTGGCACAACATTGTTATCTCAATGAATTAGAGTGGAATGACAAAGTGTCTGGTATGATTGAAAGTGGCGATGGAACTGCTTATAATACGGACTGTTTATTTTGCTATGACAACAAAGATAACCCAACCACCCCACTCATTGAGTCTTGCCTTATCCAGTCAACTCTAAGTAAAAAACCTTTCAAAAATGTTATAACTCGGTACGCGGTAAAAAAATAAAACAGTAATAAACTTTAAACAAATAATATAATACATGTCTCATGGGTACAATACGTAAAAGGCCCAGTAAATCAGCAAGCATATCCAGCAATGAGGTGGGGTGGGTTTTGTTACCCCCCCCCTCCCCTGTCTATCTATTCTTTATAATTTTTACTCTGCAGTAAACAGTGATAGACTTATTATTGTTCTATATATTATAAAAAAGGGGTGCTTGTGGGGATCCATTTTGCTTGGCCAAGATCAAGCTCAATCAGAAGAGCGAGTCTAAAGTCAATATCGAGGCCCACTCTTCCAAAGCCTCTGTGTTTCTCCATATTTCTCCATTTATCTATCTATCTATCTATCTATCTATCTATCTATCTACTATCTATCTATCTATCTATCTATCTATCTATCTATCTATCTATCTATCTATCTATCTATCTATCTGTGTCTGTCTGTCTGTCTGTCTGTCTGTCTG